GTCCTTGGGTAATCCTTTCCCACATGGATACTTGACTTGGTCATGTGGCTTTCTTGGGCCAATGGAATGGCGGCAAACAGGGCATCTGAAAAGCAGTTGCACATCAGGGCTTGTCCCCTTTGCTGAGCTTGGAGCCCTGAGCCCACCATTTTAGCACACATGAACTAGCTCCCTGGAGTGGGCACCTGGAAGAGAACTAAGGGACCCCAGCAAACAGCCTGACGACCAAGTGACTGAGGCCATTCTCGAACCATCCAGCTCATCTAACTACTGGCTGATTGGTGGCAAGAGAGAGAGCGAGCTCAGGAGAGACCAGCAGAGGAACTACCTGGTTGAACCCAGCCCATGTGCCCAGCCACAGAACTGTGAGCTAATAAATGGTCGTTATGTTAAGCCACTAAGTTTTTTTTTTCTTTTTTAAAAATTTATTTATTTATTTATTTGTGAGAGAAAGAGAGAACGAGAGGAGAGCACAAGCAGTGGAGAGTGGGGGGAAGACAGGGAGAAGCAGACACCCCACTGAGCACGGAGCCCGATGCAGGTGCTTGATTCCAGGACCTTGGGATCATGACCAAGCGGAAGACAGACATTTAGCCGCTAAGGTTTAAGGTGATTTGTTACGCAGTAAAAGCCAAGCAGTATAGGGTTCATCTCTCAACTGTGATGTTGCAAATATAATGTGGAACATTTTTTTTTTCCTTCTCAGAGATAGATATGATAATGGATAATGGTGCAACTTACAAAGGATTATGATTTACATCGGTTGCCCTAGGATATCACACTCACTCGGCAGATAAGAATGCTAGGGATTAACAGTGCCTGGATGGTTCAGTAGTTTAAGCGTCTGCCTTCAGCTCAGGTCATGATCTCTGGGTCCTGCCATGGAGCCCCGCATGGAGACAGGTGTCAGGCTTCTTGCTTGGTGGGGAGTCTGCTTCCCCCATCTTCCTTCGACCCCTCCCCCTGCTCATTCTCTCTCTCTAATAAATAAATAAAAATCGTTAAAAAAAAAAAAAAGAAAGAAAGAAAGAAAGAAAGAAAGAAAGAAAGAAAGAAAGAGAAAAGCTAGGGATTAGAGGTTTTTTTACCCAAGGTCTGGGACCAGTAAGTTGTGGAATTTGAATCCAAGCAGTCTGACTCTAAGGCTTTGCTCTTAATCTGCAAGTATTTCCACCCAGCAGGACAGGAGCCTCAGAGAGCCCTTGGGAGCCTCCCAGTGGGAAGAGGGGTACACCCGTGGAGGTTACTGGCTAGAGAGCTGTAGACTAACTCTCCTCATAAAGTTAATGAAGTCAGAGGATCAAGTGCATGGCAGCAATAAAAGGGGCGTGGGAGAAGGGAGGACTATGGCTTCAATGAGGGCCACTGGAGACTATGTGATAATCACCAGTAGTTATAGAACAGTGTCAGTTTGGTGGAAACATCCTTTTTCCCTATTGCTGGAAGCCCAGCAAATCTGAGATTAATGGCATACAGTCCCGCTTTCTAGACACTAACAGTTTCATGGGGGAGAGGGATATATGCCTAACGCAGATGTAGCCTCAAAAGAGACTGAGTGAGAAGCACCCAGCCACTGATGCCAACTCTTTCTTTAGCCATCCTGGAATTAAAAGCACATTGACCACTATTAATGGATGTGGCTATCCTGAAGATGACCATGTTCAAAATCGGTAGATACAGAAGATCAATAATAGTGACAATTCTGCTGCTGGCAATCACAAGTGGGAGCTGTGGAGACAAGATCATTGTCAACCTGTCCCTCAGCTTGTCCCCAAAAGGACCTTGACTCTGTTTAGCTTCTCCAGAAGATGGATCAATTGGTGTTCGATAGCCGAAGTTAGGCAAATATCTATACCTGTTCTCTTTTACAGAAAAACTTTTATTCCAAGAATATTAAGTTTTGCCTTCTGGGTAAAATAAGGACCAGCTATGAAAGAATTAAATACCAAAACAGGAAGTAACAGTTAGTTTACCCTTTACACATTCTTCCAGAAGGAGTCATTGTTCTCAGAACACTGCTTCGACTCATGCTACTCTGCCGTAAGAACACTCAAAATTGTTAATCATTTGGTATGATCCCTATACACAGAAAGTTTGAGGACTTTACCCAGTTTTTCTCAGGGTCAAGGTGTGGATCAACTTCTTACCTACCATATGATTTTGGGGATGGTTTCTGACTCATGAATGCTACTGTAGGTTGAATTATTTGGTACCTGAAAACTGCAGCCGTGACATATTTCTGATGTTACAGTTCATATTACAAGTAAAACAACATTAGTGACTTACAATCTTTGCCACACACACACACACACACACACACACACACAAAATCTAGCCAGAGTTAGCCAGAGTTAGCCAGGATCTAGCCAGAGTTAGCCACAGCATTTTAATCAAGCCAATATGGGACTGAGAACAACTAATCAGAGACTTAAATTTCCATTAGATTTGCTCCGTTGCGACACCCAATTGGCTTTTGTTCGGGTGGCTACAGAAATGTTTGGTTAAAAAAGAAGATGGAAAAGGGACTTACGTCTGTGTTCCTACATCTTTCCAAGTCACAAAATGGAGCCCCCAACCATGGAGCTTGGAATGTTCATTTAATGAGAAAACTAAGGTGATGGGCTGACACCCTCCTAAGGTGGGTGCCATTATTCCTGTCTTACAGAGGAAGAGAGGGGGCTTAGCCAATGTTTTTAACCACTGTGCAGTTCTGCCTGCCTTCAATGTCTTTATTTCATGGTCATGGAACAACCCCATACGTTGTGAAACTTTTTGAAATGATTAAGGAGATAAATTTTTTGTTTTTGTTTTGTTTTTAAGTGTTAGCTATGAAAGAGACCTGAGGAATTATTTAGTCTAGTCCCCTTTTTCCAGAGGAGAAACCTGAACTTGCTTCCTTCCCTATGTCATACAGTGACTTTACCAGAGAGAGTAGGAATTGAGATATAATTCCTGATTGTGTGCCTTTCTCATTCTCAGGGATCAGTTACCTGCATTAGGGCTAGAAACCAAGGAAGAGCCAACCGACGAGGAAAAAAGGGTCTTGGAGGAGGAAGTGATAGGGAAGTTAGTCAGTGACAGCTGTCATACGTTGTGGGTTGAATTGCATCCCCTCCTCTCCCCAGATTTATTTGTTGAAGTCTTAACTCCCAAGTAGATAGGGCCTTCACAGAGGTCATCAAATTAATGCCCTTACTGTGAACTCTGATCCAATATGACTGATGTCCTCATAAGAAGACATGTGGAAAAACCGGGTGAGGAGACCAGGGAAAAGACAGCTTTCTCCAAGCCAAAGAGAGATGCCTGAAGCAGATTCTTCCCTTGCTGCCCTCAGAAGGAACCAACCCTAGCCCACACCTTCATTTTGAAATTCCAGCCTCTGGGACTCTGAGTCAATAAATTTATGTTGTGTAAGCTACCTGGTTTGTGATAGTTGTAATGGCAGCTCTGACAAACCACTACAGCAGAGAACTTTGAAGGGCATAAGGAGGGGCTGAAGGACTGGTTGGAGAAGCAAGAGAAAAAAGAAGAGGCTATGAGTGATGAAATCACAGGTGAGGAGGAAGAGATCTGATTAGAGAAACCAAGGATTAGCCAAGTGGAAACCAACAGAAAGGAAAGTGGAGCCCATTTTTAATCTTAGAGAGTCTGTGCGTAGAGGGAGGTCTTGGAGTCCTGTGCTGCTGCAGAGGCCACTGGAGCGTGGGTTGCCCTCGCCATCACTGTCCTATAGTGCCTGGCACACTTTGGGAGGAAGGTCCCCGGGATATTACTTGCTCGAGTCAACTTGATATGCTTGAGACCACCTCCAGCGAGCACGGCTCGCAAAAACGTAAGGACAAAGTGTGGTCCAGTGGTTATTATGGGCGTGCTCTGGAAGCAGACTGCATGAGTTCCAAGTGCGGTTTTGCCTGCAGTAGCATTCAACCTCTGTGCCTCAGTTTCTCCCTCATCTGTGAAAGGAGAATCATGTCAGCATCCACCTCATAGGGTTATGATGAAGATTCAAGGAGATAACGTGTGTGAACTGTTTCAGTACACTGTAGCTGTTGTTTTCAGAGGGGTTTATCATCACAATAATGCCTTTCATGCTGCAAATTTAAAGAAGTACTAGATAGCAGCTCTCCTCCCAATACCAGGCGCAAGCACCCCTGTAACCCGAACCACTGTTATTAGAGGTTAAGGACACTGGCAGACCTCAGGTGCTGGGAGGAAAAATAACATTTGGGATAGGACCTGAAGAAGTTCATGTCAAATGGGCATTGCACAGATGCAGAACCCCTCAAAACCCCAGCCAGGGCTGAATAGGAGATAGAGGCCTCAAGAACTTGGCAGGTGGATATTGTCCTTGAGTAACATTGGATCTGTATTCTGCTGTAACTAGACCAGTATGATAGGTCCGGAGTTGCTTCACGACCAAGACATTGCAAAGTCCAGACGAGTCTTTCCTGCCAGGGACTGTGGCAAAATCCCATGTGGGGACCGTGGTGAAATCGGGTACAAAGGGGCTCCGCAAGTGAGTGTCAAAAAAAAGAAAATAGGCCAGGGAAGCTCCCCACCCCGCCCCGGGTCTCTGCCTATAGAGAAACCCCGATCGCCAAAAGTCAGCAAGGCAGGCAACTGGGAGGGGAGGACGCAAAAGGGCGTCTTCCGGTCCCCATGGCAACGGGACCCCAGAGCTGGCCGGGCTTCTATGCTGAGACTCTGTGATACACCCTTCGCCCTTCCACAGGTTCGCTATGAAATGGAAGGCAGGCGAAGCGACTCCTGCTGAATTTGCTCGTCGCCTCCCTGCACCCGCCCGCACGCAGCCAGGTTTGGGCTCCTCCCGCGGGGAGGCAGGCAGGCGCACGTCGGAGGCGGGACTTGCTGGCGGAGGCGGGGCTTGAGGACGGGGCGGGGCGGGGCGGGGCGGGGCAGGGCGGGGCTGGGCGGGCGCTGCTGGCGCACCGGCGAGCGGCTTGGCTCGGCGGCGGAGGAGGCTGGGGCGCAGCCAGGGAGCCGCGGCTCTACGGCGGCGCCCTTAAATAGCATCCGAGCGGGCGCTGAACAGGCAGTGGGCTGTAGTGACAGCTGGCGGCATAGCGGCCGGCCAGCCGAGGAGGTGAGTGCTCTTGCCGAGGGGAGCCGCGTCCTTTCCGGCTGCGGCGCCGATGGTCTCGGTGGAGGCGCGGGGGCTCAGGCTGCCCCGCCGCCCCAAGCCCGGGAGGCGGCGGCCGCCGCGGAGACGCGTGAGCCTCCCCTCGGCTCCCGGGGCCGTTCTGCTTTTCCGGCCTCTGCCCTCGGCTCCTCTTTCCGCGGTGGCAGAGGCCTTCGGGCCGCTTCCTGTGCCTGAGCCGGGGATGCCCGGGCTGCGCGGGAGCGGGGCTGGTGCGCGGCGGGGTCCGGGTGACGCGCGCCGCGCGGGACCGGCCTCTCGTTTGTGTGGCGGCGGGGACCGGCCCGGCCCGGAAGGCGGACCCCGAGCTTCACATACCAGGGATGATCTCGCGGGGCTGGGACCGGTGGTCTCTCGGCCACGGGTGTCCTTCCTGGCCCCGTGGCAGGGTTTTTGAGGCGCTCTCGGACCGCGCCTGGAAGCACGGCGCCGGACGGTCCTGCTACCGCGGCGTGACAGTGGCCCCTGCGCGGAGCGCTTGCGGAAAGGTCAAAGGCAGCATCCAAAAGCATCCAATTTGCCAAGTGTAGAAATTCTCGCGGTGTCTCCAGAGTGCCCATAGCCGCTGCACACAGCGGTGTGGGAGTCATTGATGTACGAAGCCTGATGTTTTGAAATTAGGAAGCAGAAATGATGCCTTATCTCCTTGCGGCGTAAACAGAGAGTGGTGGTAAATGGCTTGAATGGACACGTGGTCGGACCTAGAGAGAAGACACTGATCAGTGTGTGTGTTAGAATTTCAGACCCCTTTCCCGATCCGCCTACCTTCAAGGTTATGGAGCTTAATTAAGACCATTATAAGTCTTAATTGTCTTTGTCTTTTAAAGTTAACACTTTTAAGCATCTTCTTGGTGCAGGAGTATCCGAAGTGCCCCCCAACAGTCAATATCCTTCCTTTTATTTACTTATTTATTTATTTTTGTCATTGCTTAGCATGAGAAAAACATGAAATCTCACAATTTCTGACACAAATTTCCCCTGTGATTACCTCAGTGTAAACAGTTATTTGCTTAACACAAACAAAAATTTCTGGTTGATTCTGCACTTTCAAGTGGAGATGGCAGCTTAGATTGGCGGATGAGTGGGGTTGAGGAGGTCGAACTCTTTAGAGGAAATTTTGCTTGCCAACATGGTGGAGTGGGTGTTTGGAGGCGTTCTTTCTAGTCCTTACTCAACTGGGAGAATCCCTTCCCAGTCTGAAACTTGACTCCTTACTTGTGAAAGGACGGCATTAGGCTTGAAGCCTTTCATGAGCTAAGATTCTATGACTGGAAAAAGACAATCCTTAAAAGCAAACCTCATACCTACCTTCCTCACTTAAATGATGTAAACATATCATAGGCCATATATTATACACCTCTGTTTTTTGCATTTACTGTAAACAGAGAAGCCTTTTTTTTTTTTAATCACCCTTCCCTCGCAATTATAAGCATTTTGACCTATTTCCTTCCTGTCTATGTTATGCATATTTTGACAGTAATTTTATTATTATTGCTGGCAGCCTGACTAGAAAGAGATCTCTGGGCTTTTTGATTTGGGACATTTGAGAGAAAGCTACTTGGGACAAATGCAGGTAGGGACTGGTTTCTGTTTGTATCAGAGAGGCAGAGTTTTCATGGCTCTCTCTCTTCTGAATGGAGTTTGAAAGAACTCAAAGTGTCCTAGCATGCCACAGTGTCATGTCTCATGTCCAGGCTTTACCACATCTTTTGTTTTTGAGGTAGCATGTTGTGGAAAATGGACCTGTTCAGAGGAGGGGCTGGGGAAAGATCAGACTGTTTTGTTACAGCTGGGGATTTCTCCTCTCTCTCTTCAAGTTTCACTTTTCTGGAAAGAGCAAGACTGCAAAATACTCGTAATTTCTGGATGTTGACACTCAGGAACCTGAGATGAATATATAATTTTTAAGGTCAGCTGCTGAATTTATTGCGCAACTTGCCCCATAAAGCATCTGTCCATTATTCTTTGGCACTTACTCTCTCTTATATCCAAATTCTGTTGAGTTAGGATCCATTAACAATGTTTTATGAACAGTATTGTTTGGATGATGCAATGGGTTAGACTCTTGTGTTCAAAAATACAGAAGAACTTCCTTTAAGGCAGCTCCAAGCTGTTGGTATCTTATGGCCTAACTGGAAACCGTGGTCTTCAAGCCTTGCTCTCTCACGGGCAGGTCAGTCAGAGGAGGTAGGCTGAAGGTGCCAGAGGTTTTTACTGTAGGTTGTCACAGCGGTGGGCAGACAAACATCTTAGGGTCACTTTTCTTTGACATTCATGCCTAGAGGTTGCATCTCTGAACAGAGCTGATCTGAAGCTGCCAGGGGTTGAGTTTAGTTTTAAATATTGTCGTACTTAAAGGGGCTCTGAGAGCTTTTTTTTTTTTTTTTTAAAGATTTTATTTATTTATTTGAAAGAGAGAGATAGAGAGCATGAGTAGGGAGAGTGGCTGGGAAGAAGTGGACTCCCCACTGAGCAGGGAGCCCCCACCTGGACACCTGGGGACCTAGGGATCTGGGGCTGGATTCCAGGACCCTGGGATCATGACCTGAGCCCTAGGCAGACGCTTAACTGACTGAGCCACCCAGGTGCCCCTCTCTGAGAGCTTTTAAAGAAACCCAAGTTTGTAAAGCTTACGAACTAGAATAGAAGCAGTTTTACCAGTGTTTCTGGCTGCAACTCAGAAATGATCATTTTATCCCCAGTTCCTTAACTAAAATGGGGAATGACAGACAGCTCATAGGAATTTCTAGTTTGTGGAAGCCCAAAGTGATACAGAATTGTGAAAAAATTGACCAGACCACAAGGATAAGAGAAAACTATTGTGTAGTCTGTGTTAGGTTACTTTTTCTGCCTTTTTTACATCCTCACATTCAGAAGTTCTTGACTGAGTTGTAACCTTTGTGGAATCAAGAGGGGACAACGAAATATGGAACGAGCCTTGCTTGAAACATGGCTGGCTTGGATAGAGGGCACATTCTTTGGACAAAAGCCGAAGTGGAGGTGAGCGCTCTGTTGCCCTGTGCTGCCTGCTTGGGAGAATGCCTGTGGCTGGAGGGAAATGTCTTGTTTGCAAAATCTAAGATTTCAAAACTGGTAGCTCTGTGTAGGTACCTGGCCTAATTCTCTTCATGAGTTAGTTGCCAGTCTTCAAGTTTTACTTGAAAACTAATACCTAAGTCAAATGATATACCTTAGAAAACCTATATATGTATGTGTGTGTGTATATGAATATAAAATATAAAATTATAATTTTAAAAAGTGTATATAGTATGTAAATATGAAAGTATAGTAGAAATGTATGCTTTTGTTACAGAATTATATTAAAATAGGAATATATATTATATGTTTTTTATATTATAATAGGAATCTATGCTTATAGAAAATTTGGGAGCTCTTAAAAAATAGTCTTCAAGAGAATAAATGCTGTTCACATTTTTGTGCATTTCCTTTTTGTGTTTTTCTAAACAATTGCTTTTTTTACTTTGAGCATATAGTTTTAATTGAAGATAAAAATTTTTTTTCAAGATTTTATTTATTTACTTGACAGAGAGAGAGGGAACACAAGGAGGGGAAGCGAGAGAGAGGAGGAAGCAGGCTCCCTGCTGAGCTGGGAGCCCGATGCAGGGCTCGATCCCAGGACTCTGGGATCATGACCTGAGCCACAGACAGACACTTAATGACTGAGTCACCGAGGCACCCCAAATATAAAAATTTTGTTAACTTAATTTTAATCACGTAAGTTATATTGTGAACATTTTTCCATGTTGTTGCCTGCTCCTCAAAAAATCACCTTTGAGGATGACTGCATAATGTGGTATATGGGATATGTCCCAATTCATTTACCCTTTTCCTATCGTTGGATATATTTTTAAAAAATATTTATTTATTTTAGAGAGAGAGAGAGAGAGGGCACATGTGTGTGGGGGTGAGGCAGAAAGGACAGAACGGGAGGGAGAGAATCCTTAATTAGACTCCCTGCTGAGTACCAAACCCAACATGGGACTTGATCCCAGGGCCTCGAGATCATGACCTGAGCTGAAATCAAGAGTTGGATGCTGAATTGCCTGAGCCACCCAGGGGCCCCTATTGTTGAATATTTAAGAATAACTATTTTAGGACAGTTTGCCAAGCTTCTCATATATTTAAATGTATCTTTTTAAGAAATGAGGGCATGTTCTCTAAAACTGTTGGAATGGACAGTGATTTGAAAATTATTTTTGTTCGTGAATGGTTTTAACGGACTTTGGGGTTCATGTGTTCTAGTCAGAAGCTGTCGAAATAAGGATTTCATGGTCTGGAAAGAGAAATGGAAAAAATAGGGCATCAGAGGAGGAAATGTGGATTGCTGTTTATACCATTTCCTCATTCTGGAAGGCCTTCCGATAAATGTATTATCTGTCCATATGCACAGTTTTGGCTGCAAAAGAAATGGGTACTTTCCCCCTCAGGTTTGTTATGAGAGAAATGTCTGTAGAGCTAAGGCCCAAATACCTCAAATACCGTTTATTCTTTTAACAACTAGAGTAAAAAGAAAGTTGCTACAGAGACTAGTTTCTGCCTCAAGGCTCAGCTGTCACCTACAAAGCAGGGCAGTGTCAGATGACTAACCTTGTGGCCCCAGCCCGGGCAGGGGCAGGCTCAGGACAGGAGAGGTGGTGATAACAGCCAACCTCGCCAGGCCCTGTCCTCAGTGCTTCTCAGGTGCTGACTCGGTTAAGCCTCCCAACAGCCCTGCAAAGTAAGTCCTGCTATTATCCCTGTTTTACAAAGGATATAGAAATAGGTGCAGGGATTAAGTCGCCCACACTGGGATTTGAAAGTGCACGGGTAGTCAGGCTTCAGGGTCAGAGCTCCTAATTAATTGGCTCCGCAGCCTCTGAAGACCTTGAAACGTTCTTGGTCCAGGGAGTGTCTGGAAAGTTCCAGGTTACCCAGCTAGTGGTGAG